GTTTTCGGCTCACTACAATTTGTGCTCGACATGTTGCATTCGAACATGTCCCTTGCATTGACGGTAACGTCTTACAAAGGTGCTGTCGCTCCTCACCTCACATCAGACGTGCCATTTCATACTTCTTAGAAAACTTGAAAACGAGTGAGTGAAAGTGACATTCTTGAAAAGCATTAACCGATGATGATTTCAAATAATCAAGTAGTTTTTTCTCAGAAGCTTTTAAGCATACGGGACCTGCTCCACTCCCCTCCTCCCTCCCCCATGACTAAGGTCTAAAGATCTAGAAAAAGAAAATCTGCTGTTGGAAGCAATATTATTCGAACTCAAACGTTTATGGAGCAATAAGAATTAATTCATCGAAGAATAAGGTGAAAGGGGGGGAAGGGGGGAAATTAACGTTAAAAAAGTTAAGCTGCAATGAGAACAGTTTTTATGATTGATTCCATGAAGAAATACATTATGCTGCATTCGAATGAATCGTTTAACTGCACTCTTCTTTGATAAATTTATTGATGAATAAAGTAAATAAACCAGTAGGAAACAAGTAAAAATATCGGGTCATACAACAATAACAACAACAACACATCGAAACACCTGATTTCTTCACTTGCTTAAACTGTTCCGAATAAATCCCGTACGATCACTCAATCACCAAAACAAATATACATATCATATCACAGCATTCACCAGTTCTACAAGTACACAGTAACAATATTATCGATGATCTAAAATATCTATCGATACAGTGATCTAAATCTAAAAACGTTTCCATACAGTCAAATAAAAACAATGAAGTATTATAGAATGAAATCGGATAGGAAACTTTTTTCCAGTGCACACGTTTTTCACAGTTTCAATGTGACAAGGTTATCTGAATATACCAGGCTAATTGGCGTCCAATGACACAGAATATACCATCCAAATAATTTTAACGCGGCGCTTGATGGCCAAATGATAATTACTGATATCCCAATCTTGTATATGTTACCAGTTGAGAAGATGAGAATCGAACATCACTCTAACTACGAACAATCAAGATTGGATCAGTGGATTGCGTTTGTGATTGAATTGGCGTTGGAATCGCTTCAATGCACCGTTCTTCATACAATCAGATATGCTCATAATGTATAACACAATTAACTGATACTGATTATTTTTTGGATGCTCATTGTGAATATGCTCAATAGTTGCGATTTTTGATGAAGATCAGTTCGGTTCTGAGAAATTACAATGAAACGCCATAAAAGTATATGTACACAAATTGAACATAACACTTCCACTTAATTAGAATTATATTTGTACGTTTGAACGTTATTATCACCCACTGATGTCAGCAACGTAACATCGTTTCCAACTCGACAAAAATATGCACTTTTGCAATGTTTTACATCGACTGATGCATAATAAGCAATTCTAGTTTTGTTTGATTATCGTTTGATTATACGTTGAACTGAACACGATGAACTGAAACAGAATAATCAACAAATAGATATTGTCGGGTGATGTTTGCAGAAATATAATTCGGTTGTTGCATGAAATATGAACAAATTACTATCACTGTATGAAATGATGACTGCGTAACCAACATCACATCGATGATAAGTCGGTCATTTAGTTGTTCTTGTCACGGATCTAGCAACACAAAAAATGTTAGTTGGAGTTCGTATTTAATGGACGCTTCCTTGAAATATTTAAAACGAAAGAAATTTGAATCGGGAATTTTATTTTAATATCAGATTAATGAAATGCTTGTTACCTGTAAGAGGGGAGAATGATGACGAAAACGAAATCGGGAGATTGAGAAATGAGTAGAAATATACAAAATGAATGAATCGCGCCATAATCCATCCGAGCAATGAACAACGACGTCAAGAAGCAACATAGCATCCATCCGGAACCTGAATGTTATTAATCAACTATGAAACTTATTAAAATTTTATGCATATTTTAACAGTCATCCTTGAAATGTAATATCGCGCACTTACGACACAAGATAAACGTCGATTCCGTGAATCGCTCTCTTGATGGTACTTAATAAATAATCCGTTGAATATTCAGTCAACAAATACGAAAAAAGATTAACAACGAAAGGACGAATTGAATGAGCAGACGTCAGTCATAATTGAAATTGGATAAGTGCAAGGCAATATCTTTCGGTCACATCAAAACGATAATGGTTCATTAAAACTTTCCTGCACGAATATTCATTATTACAAATGAGAAATACTCAAATGGACAAACGGTAAATCGGAACTGCGCGTCTCATATGATGTCCAAAGCTTTCGATACAAAAGCGAATTAATATGTCCACAGCAAACAAATTACAACGAGTAAGAATCAGTTCGAAAATCTCACCGAACAAAAACGAATGGAAAACTGCTTTCTATTTCACATCCAAGATCGATTCAGATGCACTATCAAACAGAGTTTTTGTGATGGATTTCGTCCGAGTTGAGGATATATTCCATAAGATCAATAAATGCAACTGCAGCTACCACGTGACCCATTTCCGAATCGACCACAAAAAGACACTGCTGATCGGATGCAATCAACAACCCAATTGTTTCAAAAATCGTGTTTGTTGGAACTGCGTGCGGAGATACGCGATAGACGTTCTACAATGTAATATGTCAAATTCTGTCAACGTTTCTTCGCTGCATGGATGGCAGTGTGGAATCGTAGAGGGACTAAATATTCTTTGATTTTAAATAGGAAACTTTAGAAAAGTGTGCGCTAAAAAAGCAGAACACTGATTAATACGAATTAGTTATTCATTGGTTGTGAGGTGGCTGCCCAGAAGTTGAACCAGTTATGAGATTAGTGCCGAGAAAAAATTTGCAGATAGTGGCCGGTCTGTGCTGACCATTTAGTTAGCTATACTCTGATAAGATAGAGCAATCACCATGACAGAAACGTGCAATATATTGAGATAGTTTTGCGTATGTCGAGTTAATTCCTTCATTATATCTTGTTTACTGATCGCACCAACCATTTTACCGCAGTCGTCCACAACTGCTACGCATGAGATCTTACCCTCTAAGAATAGATCGATCACGTCTGCGCAGGACGCGTTGCAATTGATCTGTAACACTTCCTTATGATAAGAGCAATGAGAAGCAGAATGACCGATTAATACGACGAATTCGAAGTGCAATATTTTCTAGAAGCGAAATGAGTATAATAGCAACGAGGAGCACTTGTTATAAGTCATAAATTGAATCGTTTATGTCTCACCGTTATGACGTTTGACCATGTTCCCACCGAAGTTGTTTGCAGAGTCCTTTGCTTGAGATGAGGTGCGCGCGAGAACGTTGTTTCAATCTGGAACGAGAATTCAGCATCGCGGGTTTACTACATTACTGCTAGGACGGAAGATGAGAATCGTGTGGAAATTTGGGGAAGAACATTCCTAAAATGTACCCATAACAAGCACTGTAACCATGGCCCACGAATGATTGGATGGAATTCGAAATTATAAACGACTTTACTCGTAGACGATCAGAGTTTTCAAAGAAATGGACCGAAAGTGCAAAAGCGTAAGAGATTTCCTTCATAAATATTGAAATCGCTACCAGTTTTATGATCGTCTCCTGGAAAACGACTTTAAGTGAGAGTAAGTAGAGAACATCGGCTTCCTTGAGTCCTTCGGTGGCTTGTAAGACCGGAATCCGATGGACGTGATTAAGACAGAATAATCGAGCAGCATCCCAAACCCTGAGGAATTGACACGTTGCTCACATGAGTCTGCTAGTGAATTTTTCATTTCATCATCACTCACGATTATTCAGCTAAACTTCATTACTCAATACTCGTTCACAACATTTACGATGTAGTTATTGTACATTGCAGGGAATAATTGCAAACATCATGAAATGCTTGCTCACCACAATGCAAATATTGCTCGCACCTGCTCAAGTCCACTGTTTTTTTGAGTCACAATTCAACTTTCGTAACATAAATCAAGTATCACCAGAAATGTTGAAAAATAACATTTTTTCCGGACTCAACTTTTCAACCAAATCCCTTTATGACCATAAATTCAATGGAAAGCATTGGAGAATGCAGACTTTTGAAAGCGTACACAAGTGAAAGTAAATAACTGCATGAGTGTTTGCCACTGAGCCATCACATTGTTCATCAGTTCTATGACTCAAAAGTTCTTTAAAGAATTAAATTTTCGACTGAATGAAATGCCTTCACATTTGCCGCATGCTCTCAGTTTACGTCATACAGTTGTCGTTCAAAGCAGTTTGAATCTTACGAAAGATTCGCAGGTGCGGTGACGAGTCGTTTGCGTCCATTGTAGGTGTTCATGAAGAAGCGCACGGTTCTTTCACCGATCTCTGGATCCGCATTCGCTGCAACTGCGATTACCCGCAGACAATCGGTTATCGTTAGAATACCGATCGCTGAACTCGCATCTGAGTTGATTATAATCGCTGCGTTATGTCCTGACTGACTCAGTGCTAACAGCGCCTTGTGAACCTTAATTACTCACTGTAGAATGATCAAAATGAACTAGCAGAATATTGGCAAATAACGAGATTAAAAATGGATAGGTTCGATGAAGAATCTGAGAAAGACCTTGAGAGCGCTATCAATAAGAACAACAGCTCCATGTGTTGGTGCTAGATCATAGCACATTAGCGACTGCATATAATGACGATACGGGTCAGCATACTTATCTGCAACAAGAAATACGGACAATGCGAATAATTCATACAATAGGTGAACATTCCTTAAGAGCATCTGGCTGTGAGTAAACAGTGAAAATGATGTCAATGAACTGAATATCTCATCAACAGTCAGNAACAAGATAGGGTCTTCATTTGACCATTAGTCTGAAGCATGCTCGTTTCCAGAACGTGGCGATACTCAACTACACAATCAGCGTGTTTTTCACTAAGTTATGATCCAGCAAATAAATCAAATTTAAGTCAATCATTACCAAATGCAGCCACAACTTCGAACCGTCGCTCCCTTGTTGGTCGCAGAATTGCGTAGTCCTAAAATGCTGCTCAACTCTTTGCAACTTTATCTCTACCTAACAATGAATATATTGACAATTCGAAAGGGAACATTTCAATTAGACCTCCAAAACTGCGAAACATGCAGAATTTGCCGCCTTGTTAAAATCATCTTAGTGGCTCAAACCATTTTCTCAGGCACATTTATTCCATGGAAAAGAATCCAAAGACTGATTCGAGCTAACCAGAAACATCGGGAAAATTTTGAACACGAAGAATCAAAGAGATCTTCAGTAAGGGATTGAATCATGTGAAATATGTTCTGTGCTGAAGATAAATCGCAGTGTCAAAGATAAAAACAGCAAATGTGATGAAAGTGGTGCACGTAAGTGCAGTTTCCACATTCACGTCAATATTCGAATTACAGATAATTTCATTCGTTTCATGTAACGTTTCTTCAGGGCATAATTTTTTAAAATGTAACTAATAATTTCATTCGTTTCATTCATATTCAGTTTTATGTAACATTTCTTCAGGGTGTCTTTAAGGATTTACTTCTAAATGCAAAATGTGTACGCACGATTCGTAATTCATTCTCGTTTCTACGCAACCATGAACAAGAGCTAACCGCACTGAGTAGAACTCGTTCAGGAACACTGAATCTTCGTTGGTATCGATGTGTGGGCGTATCCTCATCAGAGCCGTCCATATCATAAAACTGGCTATCTACACTCGATTTACGAACGTCTTCATCCATCGACCAACCTCCGATCATTTGTTGTTGATGAAAGCGACTGTTTATCTTCAATTCATTCATGTTTTCATTAATCAACGCAATATTTCAAACAGCTACGACTTCATTCACCATCAATGGTATATTCATCTAGTTCAGTATTCATCTTTGCCGTACCTCTGAACAACGCTTTGATCCTCACTCGTTTCAGCATGAATGTTGTTTGTACTTCATTCAAAGATTAGCATGAAAAAGACGTTTTAATGAACGCACTTTCGAACCATTTCGTCGACGTTTAACAAAGTCTTTGAAATCACCGAACGGATTCGAGTTGCGTCGAGACGATTCACCACCGCTTGAATGTGCCGAGTCGACTGACTCGCCCTCATGATAGTAAACATTCATCGGCGAATCTTGCCGACACAATGCGTCCTCAGCTAGTTCACCAATTTCGATCATATGCGTAACTGACTGCGGCTGATTGATAGAAATGTGTGACTGTCATGTGATTTTGAACAGACGTAATAATTTCGTTGCTCGGGAGAATCCCAGCGATAATATGCAACGTGGACGGCTCGTTATTTAAACGCACAGCAGTTGCAAATTGCAAAGATGTGCTTGAATGATGCTTTTTCCAGAAATGTGTCACACAAAAAGGTTGGTCGATTCACTGCGCTATTCGTTTCGGTTGTTGCATCGTAACAGATTTCAGCGTTCGTTTCGCTGATGGAATTGCCTTGGTTGCTCAGTTTCACCACTCTGTAATTTAATACCGACAAATAAGTATTATTTATGTGATCAACACATTCGATGATAATTTATTATCAACAAACACACTAAAAACGCTCTCTATATAAACAACTTCAACGAAATTTTCATCGTGATAAGTTACAATCAACAGAAATCAATCAACTGTTTCTTAAATGAGACATGATATGAATTGGAATGACCGAGCCAACAGCTCACTAATAGACAGAGTTAATAACGAAACGCTATGGAAACTACCTCGAAACTGAGTAAAACCGAAGAAGTGGAAATTAACGACCAACTGTGATACAATACCAGTTGAGGACACTTAATCATCATCACTTCGGTGGGTTTGTACCGTATGTTAATGCATAAAATAACGATCATATCATCAACAAATCAAGTTTCATGAGATGAAATGAATGTGTGAATGAATTCAGAGAAGTGATCTATTCACTGAGTGCCATCGTTGAGAAGCACTTGAACTTTGCACAATGAAACGTATAGGAGACTGATGAAAAAATTCTTTGAACAATGACTGTTGGGTAGTACATGATAAGATCAAGCAACGATAAATTCACAAATCAGTCGTAGTCACAGCCAACATGTATTTCAATAGAGAAATGAATCTATTTGTTCAAAGTTCACACTGACTCGCAAAACGTTGAAAGTAATCTGCCGACATCAAAAAATATACCATTCCAAAATGCACAATTGCGAAACTGATCGGTTTGCTGGCAAAATGTTTACAGTTCATAACTGCGATGAATAATGATACTTTCATGAGGAATATTTTTGAAGAACCGATTTCAATTCGTCATATTTCCCGTTTGATGATGTAATAAATATCGTGAATTCGCTCAAACAAAAACAATTCCGAGTGCCACGAAAATTATCGTAAAGAATACGCCTATCGGAGATAAACTAAATTAGGAAGTAAGAGCAGCTGTGAGAGGCGAACCCACATCTGATAACATTTAGTCGAAATGTTTACGAAAATAGATTTATTTAACTGATCAGTACTGACAATCACAGCAAAAGTGAGAAATGAATCAATAAATAATAATTTTCAGAATAATCGATGAAATGAATTGGTTGGAAAAGAAATTTGATGCAACCGTTTTTGATAAGTTTATGTCTTTTGCCAATGACTTGCAACTGGAAGCGATATTGCAGATAAAATCGAAACGTTCATTGTGAGAATTATGATCATAACAAACTGACATGATGTTTAATGTGGAATGAGCATATGTGGAAGTGTGCTGGCTGATAAATGAGAAAGATGAGATCAGTTGCTAGATGGAGCGATAAACAGGGAAAATACATTGAATAACACTGTCAGTTGTGTGGCTGTTTGTTGCTAACTGAATGGAATGATAGGAACTGATTCTTTTGAGACCAGAGCAGCAGTATGCAATTACAAAATTTGTTCGTTGATCATTTAAAATTACTTCATGACTGGTTTTCAGTCTGTACAAAACAGCACTTCATTCATCAGTTTCGCGAAGAACGATATTTGTCTGTTGATGTTCATAACGCATTCATCACACTCTATTAAAGTAATTCTTCACTAAACATGATTACTGCTGAAGATCAACAAATCGAACACGATAACCAAAAACGTTAGAAAGCGATCACGTAATTCACTGCAATAATTGTCCCGTTACAGTCATTAAAAAGTGCTGAACTTTGCGACAAAGTAAACGATTTCATAAGAACACATAATACGCGATGCAATAATTCAATGTAAATTGCCCAATGCGCATCAATCTCAACTATTCGTTATTACGTTTGCGAAGTGCATTGATTCAGCTGACTGTTCCAGAAATCGTATCATTTTATATAGCATGCAGAGCATATCAAAATTCTTGTGACACGATCGACATGGGCCTTTATAATAGAAATTAACCACGAATACATCCACATCTGTATGAAAACAATGACGCATACACGTTATTGGTGAAGCCAATAGCACAAGATCTGAATGCGATATTTATCGTCAAATGAATGGAACACGTAGATGATTCATTCCATAAACGAACACAGTCGGGTGATCAATGGTTGTTCATTGGAGATGACAATGTACGAACGATCTGATCTACTGCTTCAAATGAAAATGACGCCGCAGAGGAAAAGCTGTTCAGGAAAAAAAAANAAAAAAAAACTTGATTGTTTGAACCAAGTGAACATTGTCCGAATTTTTCGATTGAATGCAAGAAGAACAAGCAGCGATAATATACATGAGAAAACGAGCAACATGGGTATGCGTTAACATGTGACGATGATGGAAAGTGCAAAACAACAATACACTTACTACACATATATGCATGAAACGCAGTAAGCAATAATCAATTTCGATGTGTGCAGCACTGAATGAGGGACATCGGAATATCACCAGTTTTGTGGTATCCTCGAAAAAAAGAAACAATTTGCATTCAACCATTCGAGAGTTCATGAATTCAGTAAAGATAAAACCATTTTGTTGTTGAGAAAATGGAGGATTTAATTGCATGAATCGAATTGCGACTAGCATCATCATGAACGTAACTTGACTCGATGGGATATGGACGATTAATTTTCAAAAGAACATATCCAAAATCCATCATCACATGCGCATAACAACAAAAAACGACCGAATTATTTCTTCTTCTGTGAGGTCCTACATCTTGCAGTCATCATTGCTTGGGTACTTTCCGAAAAGGATACTTTCACGCCATCAACCTTTCAAGATTCTTCAGTGAAGGCGAAATTTTCAACGAATAATTTCGAAGTGAATTTGATTGAACGCGTAAATTGAAAAGATACACAAAGCTGATGCAAACGCACAAACACATCAATAATTGTTTATATGAGGCGTGTGAAATGACATTCATTCATTAGCCTGCAAAGAGATATTTCCGTTGTCGTTGAGGTATATATAAGAGAATAGCACATGGAGCGACGACTGTTCGATGGAAAAGAAGGTATGTATCTCTGAAAATGTGAAAGAGTTGGGGGCGCCGAAATGAAGCATGAACGTTGAGAGGTTATTCGCTGGAAACGTTTGAAATAGAGGAGAATTTATATTCTGTTGTCGCAAGCATTTCTGCGAAGCTTCACTCAACTGCATTTGAAATGAGTCATATTTAGCTTTCTCGAAGCTATTCGCTCCTGCGACCACGAAATAGAAATCTCAACACTTACACCAACAATAATGGAAGAATAATAACAATAACATAATGTTGGTGACGATATGATAATAATAATATTATTATAAGAAAACCATTGGTATAATAATATTATTAGCTTGGCAATAATAATAATAATATTTTTTTGAAAATAACAATAATAGCAACAATAATATTGATATAATACATCATATAATAATAATATTAGTTTGACAATAATAGTTTTTGTAATAGTAATAATAATAATAATAATAATAATAACAATAATAATAGTAATAGTAACAATAATAATAATAGTAATAACAATGATAATAATAATATTTTGAAAATAACAATGATAGCAGTAATAATAATACTGATATAATACATCATATAATAATATTATTAACGACGAATAATGACAAAGCCAAATGTAGCAATAACGACGGAAAAAGAACATTATTACACGACTGAAACAACTGCAAAAACATTTCGTAAAGAAATACAATGAAACTTGAATGATCATTCCTCAAACAGTTAGCGTCCCATTTGAATTGCAAAAAAGAGTTCGTTGTTCATTTGACAAGAGACTCTCAAAGACAAGTGATTATTCATTTGACTTGGCTATTGAACATTCAATGGCAAAAAATTGTTGATGTATTGCAGCGATGATGCACACAAATCGCTGGTGACATCAGCCGTTGATCTATTTCAGTCAAACTGTTCCACTGCTGTTCTACCCCAGAAATGGAACGAAACAGCTACAAGAAATGACGCGCGCAATCAGAACAGAACATTTAAGGAGCCGAACAGAACAGACAGAAAGATCCGAACACAAATTTCGGGATGTGGGAACAGAACAGAACGTTTTATAGAAAGTGTGAAGTGAAAACATCACTAGTCGGAATATAAAAAGCCCAGCAACGATGCGATTGCATCTTCCTATGTATGCATGGTGCATGCTCGCGAAAATCAGATTCCGCTGACGACGTAGAACGTATAAGTTTATACGAGCATCTATTCATCGGTCTGTCTCTGTGTACGTGTATTTGCCAATAACTTAACAGAAAACAAATCGATTCCGAAGATTCATGCTATTGCCTAGTTAAAAGCGTGCGTAGATGACAGATACGTAAGCCTATATTATGTAAACCTACGTATGTGCCGTTGGAATACTTGAACACGCCGTAAACAATCGAAACGATGGATGAACGATGCATAATACACAGGATACATATTCATGATCGAGTGAGAAATACCGTGAGGGCCGATGATCAGAAACAAATGAACGGTGGAAGATGATGCGGAGCAAACGAATTTGAGAACGGTGTTTGTTAGGTGACGAGAAGAATCAAGTGAATGACTGTTGTGGTGGTAATGCATAACGAATACACGGATGGAGGAGGGGGGGGGGGGGGGGGGGGGGGGGGGGGGGGGGGGGGAGGATACAACGCAAGTGAAAACAAACACGAGCGCATCATCAAAATAGCTGATCGAAGAACACCGCATCCCTTCTGCATACGCATATATGTATGTGTATGTGTCTGTCAAAAAATTAAATCTTCA